TGAAATAAATAATTTACAAAGCTACAAATTGTCTTAACTATCTCACGTTTCTCTTTATATTTTAAGTTCTTTTATTTGATTCAAACACATTATCAAATTCCCAATAGAGCAAACCTTTTGAAACTCTGGCTTTTTGTTTAAAAAACAAATAAAAAAGACAAAATCAAACTATCACAAATAAGAAAAAAAAATGCCTACTTCAAACATCTCCATGACTAGTAAGGACTAGTAGACTTTTCAATTCCAAAAGTAAGGATCATATGTGGCATGTGTATCACTGTCACCCTAGCCAACAAAATATGAAAAATAAAATCCATTCTCATCTCATGATAGATAAGCCCATGTGGGAGATGATGTCATTCTCCATTAAGAGCATCTCCAACAGCTTCCTCATTTTATTGGTATTCTTATTTTTGGAGAATTTTGAGCTTTTTTGGTCCAACAGATTTCCCATCCCATTCCCCAAAATAGGGATGAAGGAGAAAAAAAGGGAGTCTTCCCCAAACCTGGGGCATTCTTTAAATATTTGGGGAGAGTTTTATCATAAATGCAACACGTTTTTCAATACGGGTTGGAGAAGAAAATAAATATATAAAAAAATCCGTAATTACAAAAAAAGCCATAAGGGAAGTTCCAATGCATAAGAGCATCCTAAAATAGGGATGCAGAATATTTTTATTATTGTAATAAATGCAGGATTCTTCAAAATGGGGAAGCTGTTGGAATTAAAGCAAAAATAATTTGGAGAATATGACTTTTGCTTCCCTATTTTGGAGAAATTTTTGGGGAAACTGTTGGAGATGCTCTAAGTGAATATAAAATTAAGAAAGAGAGAGAGAGAGAGAGAGTTCTCCACTAAGTGAATAAAAATTTGAGAGAGAGAGATAGAGAGAGACTGTTCGTCTTCTTCAAGCCTTGGATTAGGTTATTGGATCTAAAAAACAGACCCAATAGACAAATACACCTATTTTTAGCTCTGGTAATTGTCCTCTCATGTGTGAGTAAAATAAATCTCACATACCCCTGCCGTTTGGATGCGGAACCGCACCCAAAACGTACGCGATACGAGTATGACAGCCTGTCAGGGTATCCTAGATTAAAACCCTCTCTTTTCAATTATCCTTCTCTATCAATCCCTCCAAAAGAATCAGCAATGTCCAACTCAAGCAAAAATTTCACGAGTGAACAGTAATAGCCGTTATTGTTCACCGGTGAGCAGTGATAACGTTACTACTCACAGGTAAACAATAATATCACTACCTACTCCTCCTTTCAGATGCCCTTCAGATTTGAGTACCTCACCAAAATTCACAACATCAAGAACCTTGTACTTTCCGATTAGATTTGGATCGGCATCTAAGGCATTACATTCGGGTACTTCTACTTTCAAATCGGTGCTTATGCCCCGGTCCGCATCAAGGGTGTAAAAGAGCACATAGCACTCATTGTTTATCTCCTACTTCAAATAACCAGTCACTAAAAGAGCACATAGCACTCAAGGGTGTAAAAGAGCACATAGCACTCATTGATACCTTAAATAACCAGTCACTAAAAGATGTCCATCTCCTAGGCAATTGAAGTTCATGAGTGACGGTTTGGAGATTCAGCCTGGACAGCTGCTCATGGTTCCACTGGTTAGTTTGGGTATCAAATGCATGCCTAACATTCAGCTACCTTTTGTGTTGATCAGCATGCATATGCCTGTGTGTGACTCTGTGTGTGTGTGTTTGTCACAGATGACTTTTTGGTGTGGGTGTCAGTGTGCGAGCCCTTCTTGATCACAGTTCCCACCGTTCATTGTATTAGCCATTTCAATTTTCAGACCATACAAAGAATAATCAAAGGATTCAGAGCTTCATCATCAAATTGTGATGACAAAAGGAAGTCTTGTATAAAAAGAAATTCAGTTTGCATCAAATGATTCAACCGGAGCTTCCAAATTTTTTGAATTTCAGTCTAACTGTATTAGCATGTGCAAATGACAGGATGCAAGACATCAATTTGCAAAGCCCACCTTATGTTTCTATGAAACATTCATCATTAAGAGATCTTAGAGATGGCAGTTGACTAATATGGACACATTCATATAATGTTCTGCAAATGTGTATCAGTGACTTGAAAGTTTATAATGAAAGAGGGAAATCAAATGCTAAATGCTGAGAAAATCAAACCTCTGAAAGCTGTTTAGATTGACTCTTAAGAATCCGCTTCTGTTTGGCAATGTCTGCTAGGAAGTGCTCATCCCTTTGCTCTCTAAGACCCAACAATTTCTTTACAGCATATTTAACTGTGTTGTGTGGCCTGCAGAAGCTCGAGAAACTGTAAAATAGATCAGTCAACTGAGGTTCATTCAGAACCAAAAAGCCAAATTCTTGGCTTCCAGTTAGAATCTCAAATGATGAACCTCCGAGAAGAGACACACAGAAAGAAGAATTTAGTGACTTCAACTCGGAAATACTGGATTGCAGATCCCATCCAGTCCAATCCTCAGTCCTGAACTCCAAGCCAGAGAAAGAAGTGTCAAGCACCACTCTTGCACCAAATCGAGCACACACAGATAGTATCTCCCGAATCTCTTTATTGCTGTAGAGCAAACCCGTTGGATTAATCGTGGGGCCAGCTATGTACACCCATGGCCTGCTTACGTTATTAAGCAGGCTCTCAAGTGTCTTTGCTACAATCTTATAACCTGTTTCTAACTGGGTTGTAATAGTGACTGTCTTTGCTTTCATAAACTTAGCTGCAGATACATAGTTCCCATTTGCTCCCGAAGGAAAGAGCAAAGTCCCTCTCTCCTGAATACAACAAAGAACTAGCTTATTGAACAGTGCAACGGGAGAGCTTCCGTAGATAAAGTCTGACGAGGAATCAGTTAGGAAACCATAGTTACTCTTGAGTAGTTGGTGGAGTCCCAATCGAACATCAGTTTCAGACTCCGCCATGTTCTGTCTTGCAAAACTTTCAAAAATGGAAGCTTTAACAGCTGAAGGAATGGGTAGAAAGTTCTGATCTACATCCATGTGGATAATGGCTGAATCCTTTGATTCACTTATCGAAAGCTCCACATCGTTTAAGGTAGAAATAGCAGAACTTCTGAGATTTGTGCTATCGGGGGAATCTGCAAATGCACTTCCTCTCTGTAAAATAAAGAAAACTTAGGTTGAATACTTTTTCAATATAAGCCTGGATTAAAGCAAAAGGAACAATATCTTAATATAATATAATAGACCAGACTGCAACATTAAATTTGGCTCTCATATTTCAGAAAATAAAGTGAATGTGGACTTTTGCATTGAAATGAACTGAATATTTCAATTAAACATAAATGGCTTTGGAGCACATTTGACTCGTTAGCTCTAAATTGGATTTCTAGAAGCATCTTTCTGCTGTAGTTTTCTTTTTTTTTAAAGTCAAGTACTTTCAGAAGTGTTAAAAGATCTTTAGTCCTGAGATAAAGAACAAAGAAAGCCCAAAATATGAGCCCCTATAAAGACAATGTTTGTGATTATGAATTCTCTGAATATAGCACTTTACAAAAGGATGAGACTATGAGAGAGAGAGAGGACAGAAATTTAACCCCAAATTACCAGATCCAAAGAAACATTTAATATGAAGTAATATATGCAGTTTTTCTGTAATAAGTTCATGAAATTAGAATTTAATAGAATGTTTATGTGCAGCGAGTAACTATGAAGCACGGACACGGACACGACGACACAGACACGACATGGACACGGTAAAACCCAAAAAAATAGGACATGGCGACACAGACACGACACAGACACGGCAAAACAAAAAAAAAACAGGACACGGCAACACGGCTAGATTTTTTAATATTATAATAATATATATATATATCAATATTGAATTAAATTCCTATTACATTTTCATATTTTTTGTTATGTAAAATGGAGATTATAAATAAGAAACTAAAGGAAAGTGTGTGTTGCAGGTGTGAATTAAGACGTCGGGATGACAATGATCTCTCAGAAAATTGAAGACAATGATGTTAAAGAAGTCAAGAAAGAAAAGATGAACATATAGAAAAATAGATCAATTTTTATGTTATATTATTATGTAACATTGGCTTGTATAATCAATGACAAATGTAAGTTATGTAACTAATTTGAAGATAATACCAAATTTTAATTTTCATTACTTTTATCTTGAGCATATAAAAATACAAGAGAATAAAGTTCAAATTGCAACTAATTCCATGGCTACAAAATACTTAAGTTACTAACATTGCAAAAATATAAAAATTACAAAACCAAAAGTGTAGAAAAGATTAGATTTAGTTTCTGTTTTAGAAGAGATTAGATTTAGATTCTGTTTTAGAAAAGATTTGATTTAATTTCTGTTTTCCAGTTTTAGTTAGGATCCCTTATTTGAAGGAATTTTGTTTCCTTATTTGGTGGACTGGAATGCCGGCCACATCTTATATTTGTTTCCTTATTTGGTGGACTGGAATGCCGGCCACATCTTATATATATTAGGCTGTAAATATTTGATCGATAAGAAAAAAAGAAACTCAGTTTTTCTTCATGATATCAGAGCACATATCTATGCCCTAGCCATTCTTCTTCATTCATCGCTATCTGGTCACCTCCTTCATCTGACCATTCTTGTTCTTTCCCATGACCAAATACGGCATGACTTCATCTTCCTCAGAAATCACTTCTAGATCTGAGGTTAATTCCCTTGTCCCTTCCATCCCTGATTTCCCCTTGAATATCGTCACAAATCATAAACTCCATGGCCAGAATTATCTCCAACGGTCTAAATCTGTATTCATGTATATTTGCGGCAGAGGAAAGGATGGACATCTCACCGACGAGACTGTGGCTCCGGAGACTACAGATCCCAAACATCGAACTTGGAAGATTGATGATCATCTTGTTATGTCTTGGCTGATAAATTCCATGACCACTGAAGTTGGAGAAAACTTTTTGCTTCACAAGACAACCAAGGACATATGGGAGGCTGCACGTGAAACGTACTCAAGCACAGAAAATACCTCTGAACTGTTTGAGGTTGAAACAAGATTATATGACCTCAAACAAAGAGATATGAGTCACACAATATTTTAACACCCTCACACGCTGCTGGTTGCAATTAGATCTGTATGAGGTCTATTCCTAGAAATGTGCTGATGATTCTGCTATGTATAAGCAAATTGTTGAGCAAAAAAGGACTATTCGATTTCTTCTTGGTCTAAACAAGGATCTAGATGAAGTCAGGGGAAGAGTCATGGGAATCAAGCCATTTCTTAATCTTAGAGAGGCCTTTGCAGAAGTTAGAAGAGAGGAAAGTAGAAAGAAATTGATGCTGACAGAAAATAAACCTGCAGTGAAAGGCTCGGCTTTGTTCACCCACAATTCTTCTCAACCCAATAAATCTGGAAAAGGGCGGCCTTGGTGTGACCATTGCAAGAAACTTGGTCATTTCAAGGCTACTTGCTGGAAACTACATGGCAAACCAACAGATTGGAAGCCATCCCATACTCGGTTTAAGAGAGAAAACCGTGCAAATGCTGCAGTCACCACAGAGAACAGTCCTTTCTCTAGAGAGCAGATTGAAGCACTGCAAAAAATGCTGAGTCAAGCGTCGAGTTCAGGACAACCATCTCAAGCACCTGCGAACCACCCATTAGTCTCCTTGCACACCAAAGTACCTTATCCTATACCTATATTGTCCAAAATAAATCTTTAAAGCCATGGATAATCGACTCAGGAGCCTCAGATCACATGACTGGAGACATCAGCCTACTCAAAAATTATCAGCCGTGTACTAGCAGTTCTGGAGTCCGAATAGCTGATGGCTCTTTATCACCAGTGGCAGAAATCGGATCCGTTCAATTAACAAAGGACCTTCTGCTTTCTCCTGTCCTTTATGTTCCCAAATTGAACTGTAGTTTAATTTCCATCAGCCAACTTACTCGTGACCTCAATTGTGTGACTAAGTTTTATTCTAATCTTTGTGATTTTCAGGCAGTGGATTCGGGGAAGGTGATTGGCAGTGCTGAGATGCATGGTGGCCTATATTTGCTCAATGAAAATAATCTCCTCGGTAGACAAGTTCAATCGTCAAGTTTTGGTCCTACATCAAATTCAGTCAAGTGTGTCCTCGGTAGACAAGTTCAATCGTCAAGTTTTGGTCCTACATCAAATTCAGTCAAGTGTGTTTCAAATTCTGTGTCTGTTTCCAATTCAAGTTCAGTCAAGTGTGTTTCAAATTCTGTGTCTGTTTCCAATTCAAGTTCAATTGAAAGTCAAGTTATGTTATGACATTTTCGCCTTGGTCATCCAAACTTTGGTTATTTAGAGAAGTTGTTTCCACATTTATTCATCAATAAAAGTTTGAATGTCTATCAATGTGAAATTTGTCAACTTGCAAAGCATACTAGAAATATATATTCCAGTTTACAATACAAACCTTCACATCCATTCTCTGTCATTCATAGTGATATTTGGGGAACCTCACGTATCAAAAATATTACTAGGGCTAGGTGGTTTATTATATTCATAGATGACCACACAAGAACTACTTGGACCTTTCTCATGAAAGAAAAATCAGAAACATCTACAATATTCCACTCCTTCCACTCCATGATTTCTACCCAATTTCAGAGCAAAATCCAAGTTCTTAAGACTGATAATGCCAGAGATTATTTTAATTCTATTCTTAGCTCTTATCTCTCCAAACATGGTATCATTCACATCAGTTCTTGTGTTGACACCCCCACAACAAAATGGGGTGGCTGAAAGAAAAAATACACTTAGTAGAAGTTGCTCGTGCCACCATGTTCACCAACAATGTTCCTAAATATATTTGGGGGGAAGTCATCCTTACTACCACCTACCTCATCAATAGGATGCCTAGCCGAGTCCTAAAATTTTAAACCCCTCGTCAGATACTCCTCAATACCTATCCCAATGTCCGCTCTTTTTCTTCTGAACTACCACTCATAAAGTGTTTGGTTGTTCCTCCTTTGTTCACATTCACCAACATCAACGTACCAAACTTGATCCAAGATCCCTTAAGTGTATCTTTATTGGTTATTCCCCCAATCAAAAGGGATACAAGTGTTCTCTCCAATCACTCAAAGAGTATACAACTCCATGGATGTGACATTCTTTGAAAATCAGTTCTATTTTTCCAAATCTGACATTCAGGGGGAGAACTCAAGAGAATATCAGATTTGGGATCTTCTTCAAGACACTAATGATATATCTACTCAACCAAAATTTATCCCTGTCATTGAAACTGTCCCGAAAAAAACACCAGTCCCTGCTCCTGAAATAGCCCCACTTGACTCAAATCACCTACAACTTGATACTCACAATCCTAAAACAGTTCCACCCATGTCTATTCATGTGGCTGAAACAACCTCACTTGACTCAAATCAGCCACAACTTGACAATTCTGAACTACGTGTCTATAGAAGGAGAAACAACCTCACTTGACTCAAATCAGCCACAACTTGACAATTCTGAACTACGTGTCTATAGAAGGAGAAGACCTACTGAGCATAAACAGGACACCATTCACTTGACAATTCTGAACTACGTGTCTATAGAAGGAGAAGACCTACTGAGCATAAACAGGACACCATTCAAGAAAGGGGTTAGGGGGTGCACTAGTCATCCTATTGAGAAGTATGTAGCCTATGGAAAATTGTTTCCTCCATACAGAACTTTTGTTTCAACTATTGACAACGTGCAGGTGCCTAATTCAATACAAGAAGCTCTAAGAATTCCAACATGGAAGAAGGCAGTGGAAGAGGAGATTCAGGCTCTAGAAAGGAACAATACATGGACTCTAGTTAAACTACCATAGGGCAACAATCTAGTTGGCTGTAAGTGGATATTCACAGTGAAATACAGGGCAGATGGCAGTGTTGAAAGATTCAAAGCTAGACTTGTAGCCAAGGGCTTCACACAATCATATGGGATTGACTACCAGGAGTGTTGAAAGATTCAAAGCTAGACTTGTAGCCAAGGGCTTCACACAATCATATGGGATTGACTACCAGGAGACATTTGCTCCGGTTGCCAAACTCAACACAGTTAGAGTTTTACTCTCTTTCAGTGAATTAAGATTGGTCTCTATACCAACTTGATGTAAAGAATGCCTT